AGAGCACGCGCGGGGGGGGAGGGGAGGGCGCCGTGGAAGAAAAAAAGGCCGCGTTGCAATAGTCTGCATTTTTTTTTAATTATTATTCTCAAGGGGCAAAAAAATCGAGGCGAAGTTGTAGCTTTCTCTCCACCACCGCCCCGCGTCGCCGCAGCAGCGAGGGAGAAGGACCGCTTGGAAACGTTCGTTGCTAAAAAAAAGAACTACAATGCACCCTCGGCAAGGGGCTGCCGTGGAAGAAAAAAAGGCCGCGTTGCAATAGTCTGCATTTTTTTTTAATTATTATTCTCAAGGGGCAAAAAAATCGAGGCGAAGTTGTAGCTTTCTCTCCACCACCGCCCCGCGTCGCCGCAGCAGCGAGGGAGAAGGACCGCTTGGAAACGTTCGTTGCTAAAAAAAAGAACTACAATGCACCCTCGGCAAGGGGCTGCTGCAGACGCCTGGGATTTGTAGTCCGACAAGGCAACGTTTGCAACCTCCGGGCGCGGGAGGGGGGGGTCAATCGGACCCTGTCAGGGATCCTGTGCGTGCTTTAAAAGAGGGGTGTAAAGCAGCCACCCCCTTCCCCCCCCCTTTGCGCTGCCTTGGAGGCACAGGTTGGGTAGTTAAAAAGTAACGCTCGGGGCCGTTACACGGGCGTCTTCTGCCTGCTGGTTTGCCCGCCAGGAAGCCCCCGTCCGTCGATTGGAAGCGGGCTTCCAGCCTGGAAAATCCGCGGCGCCTCCCAAACGGAGGCGGAGCTTGAGATCCCTCTTTTTATTTTCTTTTTTTTTAACATAATATACCAGCCCAGGCAAGGCAGTGTGGCGGGTCAGGTGTGCGTGCAAGTTTACTCGAAAGGAAGCGCCCGGCACCGCCAACCGGTCCGCCGGGCTTTCCCGATCGCCGCGGGCGAGGTTCCCAAGTGAGCCTGCAAGGCTGCATCCCGACGTGTCCTCCCCACACACACACACCTCCTTTCTGGGGCGTCGGGAGGCCTGCTTCCGAGGAAACGTGGACCGCCTGCGTCACCGTGGTTAGGATCCCGTGCTGTGCGACCCCCCCTCCGCCGCTCCCGACCCTGCCCGCCGCGCGTTCTCACGTGCTGTGGAGCCCGTGCCCTTCGTGGAGCCGGGGGGGGGCGGTTCTGGGAGCCTTGGTCCAAAAACGGGAACGTTCCGAACCATCAAAGGCGTTACCCTCGCTAGCCCTTGGCCCTGACACACCGACCTGGGGGAAGCCCTTCTTTTCAACTACAAGGCCCAGCATCCTGCAGCCCCCATGGCCAGTGGCCCAAGCCCCATGTGGCTGCCTTCACAGGCAAGCGTGCCAACAGAAGCAAAGTGCCCTCCAGGGCATCAACTACAAACACCGTTTTATTTCTGGTCCTTTCATCTCTCCGTTTGCAGAATTCCTACCTAGGGTCCTGCTGTGTTTCATCCCCCATGATGATGTCTTCCTGTCCGGATAGGACCCAGCCTCCAGTTTGGGGGCTTAACGGGGATTTGAGGCCGGATTAGCAACTGGAATCTGTCTGCGATGAATTCACTTGGTGATTCCCAAGCTGTTTTCCCTTTTCCAATATGAAAAAAAAACCCTAATATTGTCCTGATTACTGAGACAGAGCAGGGGGACCTGCGATTCTCTAGATTAGACTGCAATCCCACCCCACCCATAATCCAGCATCCCAAAAAAAAAAAAAACCCTGGAGAATTTAAACTACCCTTTAGCGGGCTGGCTACAACTGTAAGTGGAGCACTTTGGTTATTTCTTAAGTGCTGCAAACATTTTGGAACATGATTTTTTTAAATTTTTGGCACACTTCTCTCTGTACCAGAAAGAAAGATGACGTCTAAGCAAGCTGGTGTACAGTTGCACGGTTAAGTAATCCACACACTTGAAATGTGGGTTGTGAGAGTGATGCAGTGTTACATTGTGGTGTATTTAGGATGGTTTTGCAAGGAAGAGAAAGCAAATCCATTTTGTAGTACCCTGCTTCTCCGAAAATAAGCCCTAACCTGAAAATAAGCCCTAGTATGATTTTTTTTCAGGATGCTCGTAATATAAGGCCTACCCCCAAAATAAGACCTAGTTAAGTGAAACCCCGCCCTCCACTATTGTGCAGCAACCAGATGATGATGACATGGCTGTATTTGAACCAATGCCGACTGTTGTACATGGAAAAAATTAAACATCCCCTGAAAATAAGCCCTAATACATTTTTGGAGCAAAAAATAATATAAGACCATGTCTTATTTCGGGGGGAAACACAGCATTTAACCAGCTTTTGGAAGATGGGTGGTCAAAGAGGGCAAAGTTCTTGAATGGCTAATTGTTTCTGCAAATTATAGAAGAAATAATGTTGGCGGGATAACAAGTGACGCCTTTTAAAATTTCCAAGGCCCTGCTGGATTAGATTTCTGTCACCTAAAGGCCGATCAACGATGGCAGAGACCAAGAAACTAACAAGTCAATTGGGGATGGGGGGGTGTCATGTTTTTCCCCCACCCATGTTCCCCAGAGGCTGCTCTTAGAATCAATTGCCAAAAAATCCTATTGTGTAGCATAGTAGACTGCACTAGAGTAGGGTGCCTTTAGCGTAGCACGCTATGGTTAGAGTAGACCCATTGGAATCAATGGAACTGACAGAGGAGTTCACTCACCAAATCCCTATTGGTTCAGTGGGTCTACTCCAGGGATGTTGGCAAGTCTTTGTTTCCAAGTCTGAGTTCCTATTGAAAAACATGCTTTTTCCCCCAGAAAAAAGGAGGGGTGGGTGGGTC